CGACTGAAAAATTTCAGTCGCTAAATCGGTCGCTAAACAACGACTGATAAATTTCGGTCACTAAATCGGTCGCTATTTTAATCGGTCGCTAAACAGCGATCGATAAAATTCAGTCGCTAATTTCGGTCGCTATTTTGTATTTTTCTTGTAGTGAATAGACTTAAACGAAATCTTTACTCAAAAGACTCAAATTGCACATACACTCAAAGCTCTCTTGTTTAAATATTGACGCGCACGCGAAGAAATTTGAAATTTGTAGATATTTTACGTCGGACCTCGTAGGGACCAACGTAAATTGGAAAATCTACGTCAGACACAAGCTATATCCGACGTAGATTTTCTTTTTTACGTTAGCCCCTATGAGGTCCGACGTAAAAAACTTAATTATAATTATAAAAGTGCTATCACATTTTTTTAACGTCAGATTTTTCTTTTTTCGACGAGAATAAAGTGACATAAATTACCCTTTTTTCTACTAGTATATCCACAATTACATGTTTGAGTCACATTATTTAGTTATTTTTAGTTGAAGTATCCTTCCCTCCTCCTAGGTGTTTAGGTCTAGGATGCAATTTGGACCAAGATGAATTGGATCATGATGAGTAGGTTTATTTACTTCAATCTAGAGCAATACTAAAATTGATCTTAAAATCTATTTGGATACAAACTAGAAACATTTTTAGAAACTTCTTTACAAAAAATAAAGAATAGTTTTCGGTAGAAAAATTCTCATCTATGTTTTTAAACATGTATCTACTCTTATTCTATAAGTTATAGTCAAATTTTGCATATATAGTCAGGTAAGTAGTGTTTTTCTTTTATTTGACAATATATTCCGCTATAAGATGACACAAAGCTTTTTGCTGGAATACAAAAACAACATAATCGAATTACCCTTTTTTCTATTTCTTTTTCATTCTGGTATCGACAGACGTGATTGCAAAAATAGCTACCAGAGACGTGAAGTATTATGCTTGAAAAATCAACAAGGAATACGTACGTAGTCATCACACACATATTAGTCTTATCCGAATCCTATTCCCTTATGCATACCTCAGCTTACTTACTGTTACAAGAACATTCCACACAGCATCATATACCCCCAATAGTATAATAATCATTAAAAAGTTCCAAGTTCCTAGTGTCGTTTTTATGATTAAATCAGATAATTGCCAATATATATTTGATCACATTCATCGTCAAGTATGTATTAATATCTAAAGGAATAGTGATTAATCGGTTGCTATCTGCTCTAAACAATTGTGCTAAACGTGGTTCTTGATAACTTAATTTGCATCCAACTCTATTAAAAGAAGCCAGGTGTTGCTTGATCCACTCAGTCTTCTTGATATACCTGATAAACATTATATTAGATAATTTTGTTTAGATGGACTTGTTATATATGCTACACTTTTAAACAGACATTTTTGACAACAGGTATTGAAAACGAAAAAGAAATTCTCTTTTTAATTATCAGATGAAGTTACGTGGGTAGAAGTACCACAATCATCATTTTCAGCAGTCTTTGTCGTTTTGTATTCGTACTCTAATTAGCACCTTAAGTAGTATTATTTGTTGCCAAGCAAACATCTAGTCAGTAGTCACTAAACATCAATTTAGAATGACAAAATAAAAATAAAAAATAAAAAAATAACAATGAAAAAATCATTAAAATGTGGGTGTATCAAAATTAAGTTTGTACACTCTACAATTTGTATTTTAATTAAATTTTAATAATTTAATCATAAAATTAAAAATTCTTAATATTTAGTTTCAAATTTTAAATTTTTATAAAATTTGGATATAATATTTCGTTATATAAATCCAAATCAACATATAAATTATTTTTTTAATTATTCATCAAAATTAATAAAATAATTTTTAAATTTTTAAAAAATTTATAAGTTTGATCTATTAAAAAATTTTAATTTACATAAATCATAAATTATTGGATAAAGTAAACAAATTTATGCGAGTGGTATTTTTGATTAGTTTAATGATAAAAACAAAGAAGAAAACAACTACGAAATGAAATAGAAAACGTACACCTGATTGGTTAGTTTGGTCTAAAGTTTTGGTACGATCCAAAAGGAAAACAGAGAATATCTCATGCCTTAAATATAGGTTCTTCTGTTTTTTTATTTTCTCTGCTTAATTATATACATTCTAAGCACACCGAGACAATGGTGGACAACACCGCCAGAAAATGTTCTATTAAGGTTGTTGCTGTTGCTGCGGGTGAAGCGCACACTCTCCTTCTTACCGGTAACTAACTCTTCAACGTGTGAGAGTCATGTATTATTTTTGAAAGCATCATTGATTTCACCAAATTAATTTCTGCTATAGAATCTAATTAAACATCTTTAGTAGATCTTTTCTACCAACTAAGATTTTTTGGTACACATATTAAATATGAGATCTTATGTAAAAAAACTGAGTCGGACCACAGAAACCATGGACATGTTAGTGTGCGAGAATCGTATATTACTATGTTTTCATTTCCGTATATTGTTTGTTCATTGCACTTTCTATTGTTACTTGTTATTATTAAAGGAAATCTTTTTTTTTTTTATTTATAATTTTGGTGAGTAGGGGATGGACATGTGTATTCTTGGGGAAGAGGAATACTGGGGCGACTTGGTGGAGGCTCTGAACACGACCAGCATTTTCCGGTTCAGGTCAACTTTGGTTCAGAAGAAGACTCTGTCAGAATAGTGGGAATTGCCGCGGGTGCTTATCATAGTCTTGCACTGGCAGGTTCTAACATTTTAAACTTATTACCTGTCCATGTGGTTCAACATGAGAAATGGCACTAACATATTATTTAACACACTATTTTAAACATATTATTAGTTAAAATTTATAAAAGAAATATAAATTTCGATGAGTTTTATATTCTATTTAATTTTTTTTCCTGATTTTATAGGTTTTAGTAAATTCAAATCTGAGTATATTAAGAAAAGTGCATAAGAGAATGGGATGTTAGGATTTTTTTATTTTAATAAAATGCATTTTTTAATTTGTCTTTAGTTGTGAGGATTTTTACTTTTTTAATATTTTTATATATTTTTAAAATTTTAATTCTCATGTATTAGTTTTAAATAATCTTTATTATTTAACATTATTTAATTTATACATGTTACATTAGTGGTTATCTTGATATCTTACAGCAAAAAAGAAAAAGTGATCAACTTGATAAATGTCACATTATTAGAAAATAGTAATAGAGATTATTTTTAAAATTTATTAAAAAAAACTGAATTAAGAAAAAAAAATTCACTTCTAAAATCAAAGTTTTCCGTATAATTATAAGTATTAATAAACATATTACCGCCTTAATTTTTAGTTTTCACATCTTATTGGACTATATAGTTGGTCAGTCTCTGCATAACAAAAATTCTAGTTTTAATATTTTTTGTAATAAACTATAAAACTTGATCGTGTATTATGTAGAAATTGACGAGATCATAATTATGTGGTACTCTTGAACTGTGAAATATTTTTTTCCTATTTTAAGCTAATGGGAATGTAAAAATATTAGGGAACAAATAAAGTCATATATCATTAAACTATAAAGAGAAAGAAATATTTATAAAATACACATAGTCTTCATTTTAAGGAATGACCAAAAATAAAATTTTTGAAAATTTAAATCTAAAATAAGTAATATCACATTAATGTTTGAATTCCGAGTGGTAAAAAAAAAAATAATAATAAATTATGTGATGAAAAAGAAGGGTTATTATACCTACTTTTCTTTTCGGAACTTTTTAAGTTTTTCTTTTTTATGATCGGAACTTTTTAAGTTATAGGGGAAAAAACCATTGAAAATTCATTAGAAAATATGTGTAGCTTAGCTTATGTTTTATTCTCCTCTTGTTTGATATGATACTTTATTTATATCTCAACTAGACAAATAGTTCACCATTCTTTTTAAAAGGATAAGTTATCATTTTTGATTATTCGTAAGGTGCAAGTTTTCATGACCTCATGTAGTTATAAATTGGCTTTGAAGATTGTTATTCATGCTAAAATGATAAGTAGATGTGCTTGATAAATTGTCCAGTGTTGAAATTTGCTTTTTTTATTTTTATTTTTGGGTATCATATGAACAGACTCTTGCCTTGTTATTAAAATGAACATAATTTAGATCAAGTTCCTTCAACAAATCAAATATCGACATGGATATTTTTTCTAATTCAATAAAATATTCTTAATGGAGGCTATTTAATGTTGGAATTTATACATTGTCTGAAGTGCAGAGAAGTGAAATATATGTATATATATATATATATATATATATATAT